ATCGACGACACGTGTCTTCATCTTGAAGTATTTCAGAAATGTCCTATCACATTTCATCTTTATTACTACTTTATAAGTCTGAGTTTCGGGTCAACATGGATGAGTTGTTTATAAGTATGAGTTTTGAACTACAATGCATTTCAAAACTGTCCGAGTTTAGTCCAAGAAGAAAAAGTGATGCGCAAATGTACTAGAACACAGTTTGTTCTATAACCATCTGTTTCTATGAAGGTTTAAATGTATGCTTGAGAGGGTATATTAGAGATATTCATGAAGATGACAGACGAGGAGCAATGGTGAAAATTTCCTGCGTTTCGATTGAAACGATTGAAAATTTCCTACTTATAAGAAAAATTGAACCGAATAAGTTCCTTGCTTATTTCTAAAACATTTTGAATTTTAAAAAAAAATCTATTTGATTATTTATGCTGGAAATTTTCCTTGTTTCCCAAGGCTATGGTTCTAGATGCAGCCCAAAGTCTCCCCCGAAATTAGAGAGGATTATGGGTGTGTTTGTTTGTTGGATATATGAGGTATTAGGAGGTGGTATAGAGTAAAATAGTATATGGGCTCCACTTATATGTTGTTTGATATGTCATTGTCAGTTCGATATAAAAATATAAAAATGAAAAATTTAGAAGTCGGTCCGCTTTTGTGAAATTATTTGGTGATAAGTCAATCAAAAAAATTTATTTAATATTAAGTCTATTTTGATTTTCATTATCCAAAATACCCCTAGTGGATATGTTTAATTAAAATAAATTTGAAAACTAATAACTCGTAAATTTAGGAGTTTGACTAATATCAAAATTCTCTCTTTTATATCTATTTATATTCGTATATAGAATATGACTATTTATTTCTCTTATATATATATATATAATAACATTAAAAAAAATAATTACATTCAAACACAAAAAAGTAATATTTAAATACAAAGAAATAGTTACATTTAAACACAAAAAAATAGTAATATACAAAACAAAAAAATAATAACATTGCGTATTAATATTTTAGAAAAATAACAGTAATAACATGTCTAACAAAAGTAGTAAAATGAACAATAACATAACCAATAAAAAAAAATAACATGCTCACAAAAATAGTAACATGGTAAAACAAACAATAATATGGAACATTCAAAAATAAAAAAATAGTACCATTCAAAATCAAAAATAATATATATATATATATATATATATATATATATATATATATATATATATATATATATATATATATATATATATATATATATATATAGAGAGAGAGAGAGAGAGAGAGAGAGAGAGAGAATATTTGTTATTTTTTGAATTTGAATTTCAAATTTATATAAAAAATTTATTGGTATATTTTCATTGATAATGAATTAAGGAATAACAATTCATAAGTTAAGAAAATAATTTAAAATTGCTTTTTAAAAAAAATATTTGACTTAACTACTTATCAGTAAGATTACAAACGGACTTATTTCTAAATAAGTTTCATTGACGTACTAAACTCATTATAAGTTCCTTAAAAAAGACTCAACTCCAATTTTCACTATAAAAATAATATTAGCCCAGTGTTGCAGTGCAAATATTCTCTTGTAGAAGGGTTTAATTAATACTGATGATGCACAAATTAGTTTGCACACCACCTGTCAAGTAAGCAGTATAAAATGTAATAAAATAGGTAGGGAGAGCGCGAAGACAAAGTTTATAGTGGTTCGGTCAACGTGACCTACGTCCACTTTGAATGGCAAGGGACGCCGGTATTTTATTAACTCCAGTGTGTAGGGAGAGCAAAAAGTTACAAACTTTGAGAAGGGGAGGAGAGAATTAAGCTCGAATGAGTGTCTTGCCCCCTAAGTATTGGCGGAGCTTATAATTTATATTCGCCTCATAACATAACACATAGTAATTAAATAGCTAGTCTGATGGTCATAACAGATTGGGGAGGACTTAATAATAATTAAATAGCTGATCCGGTGGAGGTGGCGAGCTCTTCTCAACGGGCGATTCAGTTACAATACTCTCCATAGGACTCGGTCAAAGGATGAGGTGACGGTTGACTTCTTCCAGTGCGGCTTGGATGAAGCTCTTGGGATGACCTTTACTCCAAGGTGGCGAGAAAGAGGCTCTTGGATGACCCTTACTCCAAGGTGCAAGAGGAGGCTCTTGGATGACCCTTGCATACTCCCTGCTAATGTAGCTCCCTTGATTCTTGATGAACTTGTCCAAGTTAACCACATTGAGCTAGACTTGTTGGATCTCTTGGAGATGGACTATAAATTCGAACTGGGCTTATAATTTGAGCTAGACCCTTAGGCTTGCCCCATCAAATACTGCTTGAGGGTGATATAATAATGAGGTAATAAACAAACACAAGGTTTTACAAAGATAAATTACAATATTTTCCCTTACAAAGCATATGTTCCATACCAAGACAAAGGTATTAAAGTCTATTGACATCAAATAGAATTTTTTCCTTTTATTATGAGGATCATAAGAAATGTAAATTATCATATTGCCCTTCCTAATACCTCATGGTATAAATAGATGAGAAGGGCATTCAAGTTTGATGGGCCAAGCCTAAGGGCATAACTCAAATTATAAGTTCGGTCCGAGTTTATAGACCATCTCTAAGAGATCTAGTAAGTCTAGTTAACAGGGTCAACACAGATAAGCTCATCAAGAATCAAGGGAGCTACATTAGTAGGGAGTATGCAAGGGTCAACCAAGAGCCTCCTCAACCACTTTGGAGTAAGGGTTATCCAAGAGCCTCCTCAACCACCTTAGAGTAAGGGTCATCCAAGAGCCTCCTCAGCCACCTTAGAGTAAGGTCATCCAAGGGCTTCTACCTAGCCACCTTGCAGTAAGGGTCATCCAAGAACCTCTTCTACTACCTTAGAGTTAAGGTCATCTAAGAGCCTCCTCTACCACCTTAGAATAAGGGTCATCCAAGAGCCTTCTCCTCGTCACCTTGGAGTAAGGGTCATTCCAAGAACCTCATTCAAACCGTCCAAGAAGAAGTCAACCCTCACCTCATCCTTTGACCGAGTCCTATAGAAAGTATTGTAACTGACTCGCCCCGTTGAGAAGAGGTTGCTACCTCTGCCGAATCAGCTATTTAATTACTGTTAAGCCGCCCCCAATCCGTTATGACCGCCAGACTAGTTATTTAATTACTATGCGTTATGTTATGAGACGACTATAAATTGTAAGCCCCGCCAACACTTGGGGGGTAAGACACTCATTCGAGGATAATTCTCTCATCCCCTTCTCAAAGCTTATAACTCTTTGCTCTTCCTACACACCAGAGTTAATAAAATACCATCGATCCTTACCATTCAAAGTAGACGTAGGTCACATTGACCGAATTGCTATAAACTTTGTCTTCTCTATCTCTCTACTTATTTTACTGTATTTTATATTGCTTATTAGACAGATAGTGTACAAACTAATTTGTGCATCATCAAAATTAATTTTAAATACGATCATTCCATTTTGTGAGACCTGCATACACTCTGAAAAACTTACCCAAACGTGGTGTAGGATGAGAAATGATAATAAATTACGCTTCTCAAAACTCAAGGGGCTGGAATGGGTAGGAATAGATACTCCAATCCCATCCAACTAATTCTTTGAAACAAATATGCCCTATAAATAGTGTTAAGAGAATCAATTCTTTATCTTAGGAAGTAACCGTTAAAATTTTATTTCTAATACACTCTTTATTTACACTTTTTATTCCCACTCAATTTTCTATTTTTGAGAGTAACTATTAAAATTTTATCTCCAAGAAATTATTTATTTAGGCTCTTTAAAAATAAAGAGTCTAATTTGGCTCTCTACATTTGAAAAGTTAGAGAATCTCTAACAGTATTCTCTATTTTTAGACAACATCTTTCTAAAATAGAAGTTACAATAAGGAATGAATTTTTACACGCCAATCCAATAGTATTCTCTATTCTTATAATTTTATCATTTTATGCTTTGCATTTTTGGCAATAAATTTGACTTCTCTCATAATTTTTTATATTTTTTTAAATGAGATATATTTATCATAAATGTCTTGGATGAAAAAATAAATATATTCTTTTTTTGTTGCAAAAAAATAGAATAGAGAGTGAGTGACTCCAAATGTAGAGAATTAAATTGGACTCTTTATTTTAAAGAGTCCATTGGAAAATAAATTTTAAAGGTCGACTCTCTATAATAAAAAATTAAGTGAGAATAGAGAATCTATTGGAAATATTCTCACACTCACTTACTATTCTATATTTTTGAAACAAAAAAGAAAATGTATATTTGTCTTTTCATCTAAGACATTCAGGATAAAATATATCTCAATGCTAAAAAGAGGAAAAAAAATGACGAAAGTAAAATTTATTCCGAAAAAGGATAGAACATAAAATAATAAATTGATAAAAATAAAGAGTTCTATTAGAATGATATTCAAAATTTTACTATCTATTGTTTCTTTTTATCAAATAAACTTTTTATTTTAAAAAAGATATTCCCTACTTTAAATAACACTATTGGAAATGCTCTTATACTTGTATACAAAAAAATTATTATTATTATTCAAACTCATGATATCTAAGTTTATCGTTTGAAACCTCATTTCCAATTTTGTTTATGATTTTTATAATAAAATTTTGCCCTCTTTGCCCTCTTATAATATATCTTCATCTTCCAGATAAGCATCTGATCCCATTCGTTTTTTTCGACTTAACTGATTCGTATTAGCCATTTATATCAAACTGCCCTGGCCCCAATTAGGTCCTCCATAGTCCATCCCCAATGTTATATATCTCTTCAGGTTCTCTTTCTCTCTTCACCCTCAAAACACCCACATTCGGAACTGTAGTTGGGTGTGTGCTTTTTCTCTATTTGCAGCTTCTATCCCTCTGCCATTCCTCTCTTTCGCATTGCATTGGCTTAACTAACAAAGTAAGCTTTTTTTTCCTAAAAGGAGGGTCAAAGCTTTGATTTGCTACATTTCGTCGCCAAGTTATGTTGGATTTTTTTTGGTTGCTACTCCTTGCTTTCACCGGGTTGGTGAGCTCGGACCATGCTCTTGCCTCTGATTCAGCCAAGAACATATTTTTATTAGCCGGACAAAGTAATATGGCTGGCCGAGGAGGCGAGGTTCATCAGAGATGGGACGGTGTTGTCCCACCTGAATGTCATCCCAACCCGTCAATCCTCCGTTTAAGTGCCGGACTTTCCTGGGAAGAGGCCTGTGAACCACTCCACAAGGACATTGACGTCAGTAAAATTTGTGGGGTTGGACCAGGGATGCCATTTGCCCATTATATTTTGGACAAGAACTCGAGCATTGGGGTGGTGGGTCTAGTCCCTTGTGCCATTGGAGGGACCAAGATAAGTCAGTGGGCTCTCGGTACCTACTTTTACAAGCAGCTGGTGAGGAGGGCTAAAGCGGCCCTGCACTGTGGTGGGACCATCAGAGCACTTCTATGGTATCAAGGTGAGAGTGACACAGTGACTTTAGAGGGTGCGAAGTTGTACAAGAGGAGATTAGAGAAATTTATTACTGATCTACGCCATGATTTACAGTCTCCAACCCTCCCGGTGATCCAAGTAAGATCCTAGTTCCTGGTATGATCTAGTTCATTTTATGCATCCATTTTGTTCAAAGTTTGTTGTATGACGGTTCAGAAAATTACTTTGGAAGTTGCAATTTTGTTGCCCACTCATGTCGAATTATTCATGAACAACTCAAGGTCAGCTAAGATGATAACTCAGTGTTATTGTTCGTCGTGTTTAGGTGGCATTAGCGTCAGGAGAAGGAAGTTACATAGAGGAGGTAAGAGAAGCTCAGCTGGGAATTGACCTTCCGAATGTGAGATGTGTGGATGCAAAGGGATTGCAGCTGCAACCTGGTAACTTGCACCTCAGTACTTTTGCCCAGGTTCGTCTTGGAGAGATGTTAGCTAACGCCTACCTTCAGATCCTGCCCAGCCCCCAAAATTAAGCTTTCGCCATTTTCTTTTTGAGATTTTTCAATGTCTATCATAGTAGATGTTTCAGCATGATATGCCTTAGTTTAAGAATATGGCTCTTAACATCGTAGCGATTTGATGATGTGGTTGTTATATTTATTTATAATTTAATTGTGAATTCATATTTATTGAAATTCACTATCTATTTAATTGTAACATTTTCACTTAATGAAACGAAAGGAACTTAAATGCTGGATGATTAGTTTTTTTGTTTTGGAAAGTAAATTCTGGATGTTTGAAAATTTTGCAAATGATGAAAAGCCAAAAGCTTGATAAAAAGCAAAGAGACCAAACATAAGGCTTTCTGTGGTTATATGTTTATTTGTTTCTCTCAATTTTAGGATTTGCAAATTATTTTTTTGGGCAGCACTGTAAAAAATTTTGGGCTTTTATCTTGGGCCAGTGTCTAAATTTTAAGTTAAATGGGTTAAACAAGTTGTGTCGTGTTATATGTTTATTAAACGGTTCGTGTATGTATTGCTATTTTTTACCCGTTTATTAAATGTGTCGTGTATGAATTTTACATATTTTTTGTTACTCGTTTAACCCGACACGTAACCGTTTAACCCGACACGATTGACACCCTTAGTTGTACTTAGGCATGTTCATTGTATCAGGCAAAACAAGTTCATGTTTGGTTTTAACGAGTTTGTGTCAAAAAATAATTTACGCATACCCGATTTATTTATTAATTTATATATAATAAGTCGTGTCATATCAGATTCATGTTGTGTATGAATTTTGTATAACCAATATATAAATAAATTGTTTTATCTATTTTTTTAATTGACTTCACTCATACCTAATTTGTTTGTTAATTGCATCATGTCAAGTCCACTCACTTACGAAACTGGTGACTTAAAAAGATTTAAACTCTCTAATTTCATATCGTCTTAGCGAATCGTATCATATTTTATTACCCTAGTTGTTGGAGACATAGGCATCTTTAGCCTTTTATTTTGAAGGCTAGGTTGTGATGAGCACTTGTGTTTTGAAATTTGTTGTTACTTTTTCGGAAATGAATTTTATTTATTTACAAAAAGAGTCGCAAATCACAAGCATAAAAAAAACTGTGAAGAACTTAAAGCTGAGAGAGAAGATTTGCCACAGACGGGTGTGGTTTATACATGGCCTCTAACCCCTTAACCTTGGCCAAGATTATCCCACGGTTACCTTCTTCTAAGTCCACCAATTCAGAGCCAACCCTTTCCCACTCAAAGCACTGAATAAACATGCCTAATGCCAACCCAACTAACCGCAAAGCCAAGCTAGCACCAGGACATGCCCTCCTACCCATCCCAAATGGAATAAACTTAAACCCCTGATCTCCTCCCTTCTCAATCCCTTCAAACCTCTCTGGCCTGAACTTGTTAGGTTCCTCCCACAATGTTGGGTCCCTATGAATCGCCCAAGCATTCACCAACAGCGTCGTTCCTTGTGGAACTTTGTATCCTTCTATCGTAGACTCTCCAGATGAAAAATGAGGCACGAGAAGTGGTGCAGCAGGGAATAATCGGAGTGTCTCGTTGACGATGCATCGGAGATAGGGTAATTTGGGGAGATCTGAATCCTCTAACAAATGTCCTAGCTGGACATGGTTGTTGATCTCGGATCGAGCTTTCTCCAACACATCTGGGTGGTTTAGCAGAAGTGACATTGCCCATTCCATAGTGAGTGCTGAAGTGTGTATCCCTGCTGTGAACATTATCTGTGCAAGTAGGGGCCAAGGAAGAGAGCTTGTTAGAAATAGAATTATGAGTTCGTTGATATAAAGCAAGCCTAGGGTAAGATATGAATTAGACTTTCCAATCACTTAACGTCAAAATAACTTTCTAGCTGGTGAACCCTGGTGAATCTAGTTATTGATAATTGAATTCAATAGAAAATGCTAAATTTGTAACTAACAGAATTGAAATCCCCTCTTGAGAAAATCAAGCTTTTTTTCTCATAATAGCGTTAACTAAAGACCTGAGCATCTTAGCATATATTGGAAAGAAATTCCTAATCACTTTGTCGCTCCAAAATCTTTTGACAAACTTCAATACATGACATATAATAAATAAATCTTTAAAATGAGAGATTTTTCTTTAAATATAGCTATAACACACTGAAACTATATATTATGATAAATGGTCGTCACCTTCGCGTCGGTGATCACCATCGCCAAGAATGACGCACTTGGCGCAGAACCACCTAATGTTGGCTCTTTACTCCCCCAAGATTTGTGTTTTTTTTTTCCCACCCTTCATTCACTTTTATCTCAGCAGGGAGTTGAATTACGAGCAAGGCAGTTCCGCTCCGAAAACAAAAAAGTCAGTAAGGCGTTTTCCACGTGACCATCAAATCAAGAAAGAAATAGTGGTTCGGCCAAAGTAGTATATTTATCAATGCATCATTAAACATAACCAAAACCAATAAAATTTAGAATTAAGAGAATCCATATCTTTTTTTTTTCAACGGTCAAAGATATTTGAGTTAACTTACATGTACTTCAATTAATTTTATTCTCGGTTCGATCCAAGACAGACAATCCACGTTGAAATTAAGGTATTCATGAATTATAATTCTCTCACGACCTTGTCCTAAAAAATTATTATGATTCGAATTCAAAATATCTAAATTACGGTTGATCCTTATTATGACTTTAAGATCTGATTTTGACCCCAATTTGACAAGTTAGTTGCAGCTCAGTGGTGATCAATTTATGATTCAATTTTAGGATCTATCATTTATTTTATGATCATTTCTAATATTTTAAAATGGATCTCAAAAAACATTATTTTGTCTCAATTTCATTGGATTAAATTAGTCTCGAATTCAAAAAACCTTTCAGTAAGTTAGTCTCGTGGATTAGTCATCAAACAAGGTAACTTAGTGCCTCAGATGAAGACCATGGATTTCTTCACCTCGTTGGACAGAAATATCATCTTTAACTTACCAACGTAAACTATGTAACCAAATTACAAAAACAGTGGAATACACTTACCAGTATGATCCCCTTGAGGATGTCATCCGTGTAATATTCAGGTTCAGCTTCTTGCAAAGACAACAAGGCTTCAACGATCGTCTTCTTCCTTTGCTCCGGCGAAGAAGAACCAGCTTTCTTTTGCCGGTGCTCATCAATCAGACCTTGCATGAACTCGTTTCTCCTTCTATGCAAATCCATCAACGTCTTTTCCGACCCTCTGAAACCCACCCACTTCAAAAACGGTAAATAGTCGCATAAATTCATCAGCAAACTCTGCCCGAACATGTCCATAGACTCCGTCCATCGTTTTCCGGCAACCATCTTTGTCACCACATTGAACGTCAACTCACGGAAAACAGAACTCAGGTCAACTTTCCGGCTAGCCCCTTCGTATCCCAGAAACAGTTTCTGGACCGCAAAACGGATCTCCTCCGTCCTGGTGGAGGAGGAGTGGTTGAGACTGGTGGCAGAGAAGATTTGGATGGCGGTAACACGGCGAATATTACGCCAGTGGTCTCCATAAGGGGAGAACCCAAGGATGGTGTAGTTGTAGGTTATGTGTTTGCTGGCAAGGAACTTGGGTCGGTTCGCAAAAATTACATCAAGTTGGGTGAAGAGTTGCTCGGCAAGGGAGGGAGAGGAGACTAGGAGGACGGGTCGTGATCCGAACCTGAGGAAAACAATCGGACCGTAGTGGGAGGAGAGAGACTGGAGAGTTCGGTGGGGTGGGGTTTTGAGGAGGTGGAGGTGGCCTAGTATGGGAAGAGCTAGTGGACTTGGTGGTAAGTTTGTTTTTGGAGAGAAGAGAAGCTTGAGGATGATGCAAATGGAGAAGATAAGAGCTAGGGTAGTGTAGAGGATCTCCATGTTAATGGAGAAGGAAGGTGAGAGAGTACTCCTTTTAAGTATAATTATGTACGTTAACAATTCGATGCACAGAATTTATATTCACATTTTCACCATATAAAATATAAAATATTGAATAATGTTAGATAGTGATGCTAGACCATGCGAAAATTTGATTAGATAAAAATGCTAATCTGTTTATTATATTAGAGAGAGAAAATAAGATAAAAAATGAGAGGTTTAAAATAGAAGAGGCAGTGTGGGTTTGAGTCACTTGAATAACAAAAAACATGGTTGGTAGGATGACATTATTGTTGCGAATGGTATTCATTCCAGTGGGTTCAAATCTCTATCAAAGTGTAAGTTCTTATTTAAATAATGTATGAGTTGAGAGATCAGTTTATACATTCGGAATTTATTTTTAATTCTATTTAAAGACACGAGCCTAAACGACATAAGTACTTCTTTACTCGCTAGTGACAAACTAAAAATTTCCCCATTACAAAAAAAGAAAAAAGTTGAGAGAATTGTGAAAGAAAGTTGCTAAAGATACAAGCACTAATTAATTGGTGACAAAATTGTTATATGAACAAAGTGAGATAATTTTATTGGAGGAAATTGTTTGTTCAATTTAAAATTTTAATAATTAATTAAATTTGTGTCTCTTAAATTACTGCTTAGTCTCAATTATCAGTTTAAATGAAACAAATAACACTCCTAATTATTAATAATGGTCTTTATTTACCATATGAAAACAGTCTAAAAAGTTATTCCCAGGTTTATTTCTATCCAAGACTTACGCTTCCTTTGGTACGATGAAAAAGTGTAAGGATGAAAAGTTAGAAGAATAAATAAAACATCATATTTGGTAAGGAAGGAAAGTGGATGAATTAACTTTCCTTCTAACTCACCAAAATTAATCCCTCCAAAATCAAAAGGAAAGTGGATGAAAATTTAATTATTTATGTTGAGATGTATTTTATTTATCTATATATATATATATATATATATATATATATATATATATATATATATATATTAATTTTATATAAAAATACAATGGTAAAATATGTATATATTTTTTAAAAAAATTTTAAAATTAAATTTTAAAAAAATTAAAATTAAAATTAAAAAAATTAAAAATTTAAAAAATAAAAATATTAAGTTAAAAAAAATATATTTTTTCCATCTTAACTATGGGTGAAAATTTTCGACTTAACACGATGACACAATTCGAATTCGATACGAAAATAAATAGGTTAACTCGTAACTCG